GGCGGGCCCGGCACCCCCACCCCGGGGCCGGGGGGGGAGCCACTAGGGGGGGTGAGCCCCACCCCGCAGGGCCTGCACCCTAGTGTGGAGGGGGAAGGCAGCTGTCAGACACCAGGGGAGATGCAATGCATTCTGGGAAATGGCACCGTGGTGGGGGGGGGGAAGCAGCAGGAGCATCATGGGAGACACCACAGCACCGGGCCCCTGAGCATCATGGGAGACACAAGGGCAGAAGCAAAGCATTGTGGGAAATACAGACAGGGCTGCCTCCCCACCTCTCCCATCCCCAAAGACTTTGGGGGGCAGGACAGGCAGGAGCATGCTGCAGGGCATCTTGGGAGCTGGCCAGGCTGCAGGGGAGCGTGGGGGGCAGCCCCCTTGGAGGAGGGGCCAGAGGGAGGGATCCGGGTCCCCCGCCCCCTTCACCTTGATCTCCGGGGTGCCGAGACGGTGGCTGTTTTCCAGGATGGTGATGAATTGGATGTACTGGGGGTTGGTCCAGCGCCCGATGCCTGCGGCACAGAGAAGGATCAGGCACATCCGGTATAGCCGGGGAGAGAACCCAGGCGCCCTGGCTCCCAGCTCTCCCCGCTCGCTCTAACCACTAGGCCCCACTCCTCACCTCGGAGGCAGGCGACCCCGGCCAGCAGCAGCAGCAAGGTGCCCACGTAGTGCGAGAAAGGAACCACCTTGGACATGGTTAGGTACCCTGCGGAGAGGCAAAGGTCCCTTATCCCGATTTCAGCAGCCACCTCGCTGGCCCCCCCGGGAGGGGTCAGCCTGGAGCGACGCAGCCACCTCAGGGGCGTGACCACTGGGGAACAGCTGCCTAGAACGCCGCCCTGTGCGGAGGTGCAGCTACTTCTGGGGTGCGGCCGCTGGGTCACAGCCACATATAACGCTTCACAGGGATGGATCATCTGGCGTGAGATGCACCCCGTTATGGGGCTGGCAGTAATCCAGTCACACCCCGGCCGTTTGGGACAGGAAGTGAAGGGGAAAATGGCAGCTATGAAGAGAACAGCCGGCCGGGAAGTTCAAGGGTGGCAGAAGCAGGATTTGAGCCAGGGCCCAAGGGGAGACCCCCGCCTTTCCGCACCCCCTACCTTTTCGATACAAGTAGAACATAGCGAGGGGAGAAGTGTAGTAGGAAATGGACCACAGCACGGATGCCTGCGAGCAACAAGAGAGGATCAGTGGGCTGAAAAGCAACCAAAACCCACCCTCAGGAGTCCTGGGTTTGCTCCAGGCTCGGGGAGAGGAGTGGGGACTAGCGGTTAGAGCGGGGGGGGAAGGTTGGGAACCAGACGTGGGGTCGCTGCAGGGCCGGAGTATCCAACCCAGCCAAAGCCCGTGGGATGGAATTAAAGACAAACATGTTTTCGCTGCACAGTGTGAGTCATGTTTCCCTCTGGGGCAGGTTGGGGAGGGACCCAGGCTGGCAGCCAGGACACCTGGATTCCACAGGAAGACCTAGCCCTGCCCCACAGTGGGAAAAGAGGGGGTGGGGGGGGAGTGGGGGGAGACTCACCAAGGCCAGGATGCTGTCTGCATGTTTCTCCAGTGTCCGCGGCTGGTAGTACGACTCCTGGGGGGAGAAATCCCTCGTCATCTGGGGAACCTATGGGGGGGGGAGTCGGGTGACAGGCAGGGTGGGGAGTTAAGTCCCCAACTTAGATGAACCCAGACAGGTCCCAGTGCGGATCCCCGTGCTGCCACCAATACAGCGTTTGGGCTCAGGTGTGTGTAAGGGTGTGTCCTAGGCATCAAAGCTGGGTGCATTTTGGTAATGCCACCCCAACCTGACCCACGGAAGGGCACGGCAGCCATTTTGACCACCTCAGAGGGGATGCCAAGCCCACCCCTCCTGAGCAACAAGGCGGCTCAGGGTGAGCAGCAGTAGCCATTTTGGAGTAACGCCAACCTGGCACAGGCAGCGTCAGGGTGCGTCAATCATTTTGAAGGCACTCCTGGAGTGCCATTTTGCAAGGCAGGCCAACGTGGCCCCTCAGAGTTGGGGACGTGGCAGCCATCTTGTTTACACCAGATACAGGAGTCGCGCCAAAACGGCACCACTGGGGAGGAGGCGGGGGAGGGCACCCGCTCTGGCGCTGCGGCACTGGAGTCGCGCCAAGTTGGAGTCTCCGAGGGACGGTGTCCTGGTGGCCATTTTGGGAACGCCTCCCATAGGAGTTACACCACCCTGGCATCCCAAGGCAATTAGGGTCACGGTGGCCATTTTGGAGTCACGCCAACTTGGTGTCTGTGGAAGATGGTGTTATGCCAACTTGGCGCCACTGAAGGGATGGGGGTAGTGATGGCGGCCATTTTGGAATCACGCCAACTTGGCATCCCTGGGAGGGATGGGGGTGGTCATGGCGGCCATTTTGGAGTCATGTCAACTTGGCACCCCTGGGAGGGATGGGGGTGGTGATGGCGGCCATTTTGGAGTCATGTCAACTTGGCATCCCTGGGAGGGATGGGGGTGGTCATGGCAGCCATTTTGGAGTCATGTCAACTTGGCATCTGTGGAAGATGGTGTCATGGCAACAGGGTGAGAATGGGAGCCTAGATAAGGGGGATATTAATGTTGGGGTCTGGGAGATACCATTCTCTCCCTGCCATTTTCTACCATGGCCTTACTTATTGTGCTAGCAATACACTAAAGAGCATGGGGGCTGCCCCCCCATTTCCTGCAATAGTCTGTCCCAGGTGGACATGAATACCCTGATGGCTGGAAGATACCATGCTGGATAATGGGGGAGGTGAAGGGAAGGGATTTCTTCTCAGTGGACTGACCCATTAGGATAGCAAGACACTAGAGCCAGAGGCCATTTACATCCACACATGCCCCCCCATTCTGCACAGTGGTCTCTCCCAAGTGGGTGAGGTCATCATTTCCTTAGAGGCTGGGAGATACCATATCAGGTGCCAGGGAGTGGCACCCTCCCCCCATGTCTTACAATGGTTTCTCCAAAGGAACATCAATAGCCATGAGGTTTGGACCATACCATTGAAAAACTGGGGGGGGGGGGAGAGAAGAGGTCAAACTCTTGTGAAACTCCCCAATTTCCTACAATGGTCTCTCCCATAAGAGAGCGCTTACCAGTGCCAGAGATGATGGAAAGGACTTTAGCGCCTCAGGTCCTTGCATGACACCCCGCCCTCCATTTTCTACAATGGTCTCTCCCGAGGGCGGGGGGTATCACTCCCCTGGAGGAAGGCCCCATGCTGGATAACGGGGAGCAGCCCCACAAAAGACCCAAGTTCACCCCACTTTCCATAATGGTATCGCCCAGAGGTGTGTCAAGACCCTGGGGCTCAGAAGATTCCATGATGGAGAATGGGGGGGAGGGAGCGGCCCCCCTTCCCCCGCAATGGTCTTGCCCAAGCACCCATAGAGATAACGGGAGCCCGGGCGATACCATTGCCTCCCGCGGGGGGAGGGGGGGGCGGAGT